AGTGTTCTTGCGGAAATTCAAGTGGCCAGTGTAAACAGCTGGCAAGTTTTTCTGAAAAAGCAGCTGCTTTTGTGGAAAAACTTTCCAGTCTAGACACAGCCACCCAGTTTAACCTTTTCTCACAGATGAGGTTTTATAAACCTTTTATCAGTGGCATGCTACTGCATTTTTATTCAGGCATGCAATTCTATACATGCATGCAAAATGACATCTTCCATATGGTGTGACTTCTCATATGTGATGTCATGTTGGGAGGAAGACACCATTTTGTTCTACAAAATGGCATTCTCCATGTACATTCAGAGTTTGGATGGAATTATCCACTGAGCACAGCCAGTCCTGGGGCATGCAGTTCATGTTTTGCATACAGAGACCGCATTTCATTGTCTTTTGCCATTTTTGTCACACTCTGATGGATTCTCTCTAATTGGTCCACATATTTTCTACAGTATGACACCCAGACTTCAATACCACACTCCAGCTGAGGCCTCAGCAGTGTCAAATAGAGTGGGACACTTATCTTCCATGTCTTATATTAATGCTCCTATTAATACACCCCAAACTGAAATTGGCCTTCTTTGCAACTGCATCACATTATTGACTCCAATTCAATTTGTAATCCACTATAATTTGCAGATCCTTTTCAGCAGTGCAACTATCTAGCCAGTTGTTTCCCATTTTGTAGTTGTACATTTGATTTTTCCTTCTTAAGTGTACTACTGTGCATTTTGTCTTTATAGGGGTCATCTTGTTGATTTCAAACCAATTCTCTAATTTGTCAAAATTGTCTTGAGTTCTAATCCTGTTTTCCAAAGTCCTTGCAACCCCTCCAATCTTGGTGTCACCTGAAAATTATATAACGGTTATTTCCAATCCATTATCCAAGAAATTAATGGATATATTGAATAGTACTGGACTTACTCTGCCCCTTCAGGACTCACTAGATACAGATAGCAAATCATCCCAGTTTGACAGCAAACCATTGCCTATTCTTTGAGTATGGTCTTTCAACCAGTTGGGCATCCACTTTGTAGTAATTTAATTTAGACCACATCTTCCTACTTTGCTTATGACAATGTCAGTGGGACTATGTAAAAAATCGTACCAAAATTACACTATATTTTTGAAAATCTAGCTCTAAGTATTTCATGATGTTTTCTGTGAGAGTGGGAGTGCTAGCATATTATTCAGGTCAAATTCCGGTGCTGGCAATCCTCTTTGCCTACCTTAAACTACAAGAGGAACGCTATTGCATTCACTAGCTTCGTCATTTCACATCAGAGAGTATTGTGTAAACTAGTTTCTGCTGACCGATGTACCGCTCCAGCATTCCATCCCATGGGTACTTCTCTTCAATGGTGAATGAAGATGCTATATTCAGTATCTGCTTTCAAACTGTTATCTCTGTGTGTGGTGATGCCTGCAAAGTCTGAAGTGCTTTCCAAGCCAGAAGGCACAGTATCTATCCCCAAAAGAGTTTACATTTGAAAAATGACAAAACAAAGAAAAGTTGATCAAGTCAAAGATATGTCACCCACCTTCTCTTTCAAAACTCAGAGACATAAAAAGTAGAGGAAGGGAGAGCCACAAACAAAGTGACAATAAGTGTTTTCTACATTATATACTAGTGAGAGGGAGGATGGTCTAGTGGTTAGGGCATTAACATAGGACTTGAGATACTGGAGTCCTGGGCCCTACCTGATTTTCTGCATAACCTTCTGCAAGTCTCTTAGGCAAGAATTTTTAAAGGTAGTAGGATATAGGCTCCCAGATGCTTAAATCCCTTTGAAAAATGAGGTTGAGGTATCTAAATCAGTGAGACATTGCAACTCTGAGTGCAGCAACACCCTAAGCATCTTAAATAACTTGGGCCTAAAAGTCTCAGAGTAGCAGCAGTATTAGTCTGTAACTAAGGGTACGTCTAGACTACATGCCTCTGGCGACAAAGGCATGTAGATTAGGCTACCAGACATAGGAAAATGAAGCGGCGATCAGCTGTTTGTCAGCTCAGCACGGCAGCCATGTAAGTTTAAATGAAGCGGCGATTATTTAAATCGCTGCTTCATTTTCCTGTGTCTGGTAGCCTAATCTACATGCCTCTGGCAACAGAGGCATGTAGTCTTAGAAAACAACAATGGTTCTGTAGCACCTTAGGGTATGTCTATACAGCAAAGTTATTTAGAAATAACTGCTGATATTTCAAAATAACTTTCCTAGTGTTTACACAAGCCTACTGCTATTTCAAAATTAATTCGAAATAGTGGAGGGCTTATTTCGAAATTGGTAAACCTCATTCCACGAGGAATAGCACGAATTTCGAAATTGCAATTCGAAATTGCTATTTCAAAATAAGTGCCGTGTAGATGCTTATTTCGAAATAGGGGGCCTCTAGCCCTTCCCGGGGTGCCCTGCTGGCCGTCCTGGCCACAAGGTAACTTCTGACCTGCTGCCCTGCCGGAGCCAGTTCCGGCTGGCCTTAAATGCGATTCAGCGTCCAATCAGTGTGGATGCACTATTTCGAAATGCATTTTGTGTAGACACACAATAAGATAAGAAATAAGATATTTCGAAATAATGCTGTAGTGTAGATGTACCCTTAGAGACTTACAAAAATATAGAAATAGTATCATGCGCTTTCGTGGGCACAACCCACTTATTAAAGTTTCCAAGGCTTCCTTGTTCCTCCTTCCTGAGCTGTATAGTGGGACACACAGCACTTTTCCCTACCTGTCACAGGGGTGCCCTAAGGCCCAGGGCACTCCTTGTTGCTCCCCACACCATACAGCCCCTATTAGGCTACTTACAGCCCCCAGGCCCAGTCACAAGCCTAGTGCATCCCCTAGTAAGGTAAATACGGCACCAACACAGCCCCACTTCCTCAGGGTATATACAGGCTTCTGGGCTATTTCCCAGGTAAGCTTCCTCTAAGTTTAGGTAGCTGGGATATGGTGGGGTGGGAAGGTCGGGGGATCCGGGCCCTCCCACTCCACCGGGTCCCGGCCCAGGGCCCAGTTGGCAGCGAATGCTCTTGCTGTCTGCTTGGTGGGGATGCCTACTGGATCACACAGAGTTCCCGGAGGGCAATCCTCCGCCCTGGGCCACCTCCTACCCCCATTGGTGCATTGCGCCTTCCTCTGCGTGTGGGTCCGGCAGTCACTCTCAGTCTGGCAACTCCTTTGCCCAGCATTGTCGCTGTGGCTGCTGCGATGCCTGGAGCTGCTGCAGAGGTGGCTGCGGCTGTAGCTGTGATGGCTGGTGCTGCTCCTGCAGCAGCTGTAGCTATGGCTGCTGCAGTGGCTGGTGCTTCTCTGGGGGCAGCTGCTGCTTTTACTCTGGCTGCAAGCGCTGCTCAAGAGCTTCTGCCTGGGCTCCTTCCCCTTCAGTGGTCAGGCCCATCTTCCCTGACTAGCCCTCTTTTATACTCTGGCAGCAGGAGCATGCCCAGCAGGCTACAGTGGGTGTGGCCTTCCTGGCCATCCGAGTGGAGTTAACCACTTCTGGCTAGTGCGGGGGGATCTTATCAGCTCTGTCTAGACTGGCCAGTATTCCGGAAAATCAGCCGCTTTTCCGGAAAACCTTGCCAGCTGTCTACACTGGCCGCTTGAATTTCCGCAAAAGCACTGACTTCCTACTGTAAGAAATCAGTGCTTCTTGCGGAAATACTATGCTGCTCCCGTTCGGGCAAAAGTCCGTTTTGCGCAAAGCTTTTGTACAAAAGGGCCAGTGTAGACAGCTCAGATTTGTTTTCCGCAAAAAAGCCCCGATCGCGAAAATGGCGATCGGGGCTTTTTTGGGAAAAGCGCATCTAGATTGGCACGGACGCTTTTCCGCAAAAAGTGCTTTTGCGGAAAAGTGTCCGTGCCAATCTAGATGCTCTGTTCCGAAAATGCTTTTAATGGAAAACTTTTCTGTTAAAAGCATTTCCGGAAAATCATGCCAGTCTAGACACAGCCATCCTGTCACACTATCTTACTAGACAGGTTGAAAGACTGCAAGTTACTCATATGACAGAGCAATGAGAGTCAGGAAGACACCTAGATAATATCAGACCTGTTTAAGAAATAAACTATATAGTACAACTATACAGAACCCCCAATGACAGCCATATCCTAGGCATCGCAATAGAGGCCAGTCTTTAGGAGAGATCTGAGGCCCAAGGGGGTAGCAGCCTTGTGACCAGCTCAGGAAAGATGTCCTGTGCATTGAGGCAAAGATGGAGCTGGTTGGTGGAGAAGTGGATGAAGGGAGTCTGGAGGTGGGTTGCATTGGAAGTGCCTTCAGTGGGAAGTGTATAAAGGGACTTGCATGGTTGGTTTTGTAAGGTTATTTTCCCCTCAGGGAGGAGGAGTGAGCAGAATAGGGAGCCTTCTGAAGATGGGTATCAGAGTTCTCTTTCCTAAAGGTTTCCTAACCCAGAGGCCAGTTCTAGTTTGCTGGCTAGGCTCCATGCAAAACTGGCCCAATGTTAGACACCAGTGAAAATCCCCAGATGATTGAAATGAAAGAATGAGACCTGTCTGAAGCAGTGGCTGAGGGCAGAGGGGGATGCACCAGCCACTTCTCCAGAGTTCATAAAACAAGTACAGCTGCATCAACCACCCCAGAATGGGGAGGGAGGATCTGAGAGGAAGAATTTTATTCAGCCTACAAAACCCCCACCCACGTGCCAGTTAAGCTCCCCATTAAGCATAAGGCCTTTTGAAACAATATTTTGTTTCTCTCGTGTTTGTTCTGTTCACTTTCACTTTTCATTTGCTCTGTCCCTTTCCCCCTCCTTTACTGCGTCTCCCCTTATCTCTTCCACCACGGTCTAGTTTGCTGTAGGGTACAAATACTGTCTCTTTCCTGCCTCTTCTTTTCCAGTGTGGCCCCCTCCCCCGCCTCCTTCCCTTCTCCCCTGACCTCCTTTCTTCCCCCGTCTCTCGGTCTGTGGCTTCCCTTTCCCCAGTCTCTCTGGCTGGATTTGCCTCCTTCCAGCCTCTCTCACATGCTCACCTGCTGCCCTTCCCAAAGCCACTATTGCCCATGCACGTGGCTACTTGCTTTCCCTTCTCTCCCTCCCTTCTCTCTCTCCCACCCATCCCCACGCAGGGTTCCTTACTAAGGCTCCCACCCTGACCTAACCCCACCGACACAGCTGCAGGCGCTCCCCACAACGCTGCTCCTCAGTGCAGACTCCTTGCTGCATTCCTTAAAGAGGCAGCCCTCGCTCCACTTTCTGCTGCGCCTTCCCCTCTCACCAGTCCCCCAGCGCTCAGGGTCGTCGCTCAGATCTCCTGCAGACAGCACAGGAGCCCCTCCCGGAGGCAAATACCCAGCATGACCGCCCTGTGGATCACAGGGCATCCCCCTCCCCTCTGCTGGAGGGGGATCCTCCTCCCCCAGGCAGGACCCGCCTACTAGCTGCAGGTGGCTGCTCAGAACAGGAAGTTGCCACTGTTCATCTAGTTAATTTCACACTCTTGTCACTGAGCTGCTGTGTGACAGGGGCTGGCTAGGAGCGGGGAATCTCAGCCTGGGACCATTCACCCGTCACAAAGCCAGCTGGGGACTCCCCCCTCGCCTCCTGCCACTCCGGATTATCTATAGAGACCAGCGTGGACCTTTCTGTAAAGTGCAGCTGAGAGGTGATAGCAGGAGCTCGGGTGGTTTTTTCCCCACCCCCCACCCCTCATTGAAACTCCTGTTTCCTCTTATACTTCGAAGGATCTTGCTTTTTGGTTGGCGTGACATTTCCAACTTTTCAGCCAGGGCGCTGTACATTTTTGCCTGCCCCATCTCCTCTCTCTATAAAGCAGGACTTGGTCAGGCGACACAGATGAGTTCCATCCATAAGGACCCGGAGTTTGGCTTGCAGTCTGGGGACCATGACCCAAATCAAAACGTCAGCCCTCAAGAGGAATTCGACTTCTCGATATTATTCGATTATGATTATTTGAAGCCTATAGAAGGTTTGTGGCGACTACCCATAAAAAAACCCAGCTGAAAACCCTCTTGCCCCCTGGATGTGTGAAAGAATGGCTTCAAAGTACCGAGCGTGAATGTAGTATGTAGGGTTTTGTGCCTGCTTCTTCTACAACTTGGGGGCAGAAATAACTGTTTTTTAGGGGATGGCTTGGCTCTCGGGTTGTTTTCTCCAGTTAACCTTAAGAGGGCAGTAGGGAAATGCTACCGTTTCTGGTTAGGTTACCATATCCGTTTTGGACACTCTACTTTTAGCTTCTTTGCAGTAGCAAAGGGAAAGGATGGTAAAGAGACCTAACCTCACTGCTTATCATACAGTAGCAACAGTAATCACTTAAAATTAGCAGTTTTGGTTGCAATGAGATGAATGTCTAGAGAACTGGCTGATGAATTTAATCATAATGGGAAAACACAGCCAGTTAACTTATGTAATATATTACCTTGTGTTTGCCTATATTGCTCAAAGTTTCATAATCTTTGCAATTACCTTTTTCAAACACTGGGTAATGCAGAAGAGAGAGAAACATCATTTAAAGTATTTTGTATCATTTGAATTTGTTATTTTTAAACAATCACATTTCCTCACTATGACCCCTACCCTGCAAAAACTTAACCCACCTGTTAAACTTTATCTGCATGAGTTGTTCACAGTTGTAAAGTTAAACTTGTGCATAAATCCTTGCAGGAGTAATATTATACTTTACTGGAGTGATTAACAGTGAATAAAGTTATTATTTTACAAGCTAGGTAGATGGAATGTGTGGTTGCTTTAAAATTCTAGGGTTCAGATTCTTTGTAAAGCAGTAGCTACCAATCACTAGTGCAAGGTAGCTTGGCTCTATCTAGTGACTTGAATTATTGGAGGCACTTTTCTGTCCTTTCTAAAATGCTTTGCACACAAGTGACAATAATACACTCTTGTGCAATGACATTGATGGTTGTTGAAGATGCCTTGCTATCCTCTTTATGACTATCATCATGTTGGCTGAAGAGATTGTGAAATTAAAACAACAGTCTTGTGTTATACTTGACACAATAATGACTGCTTAAAGGACTATATATTTTTCAAATTTTGAGAAGAAAAAAATTTCATGGGCCTGGACAAAAAACCTAAGATCATTTCTGAATTTTGAGGAATTCTCTAGTTTCAAACTTTACAATTTGAGTCCATCCAGGAAAAAAAAGAGAGGGGACATTTTCTTATCCTACTAAGCCCACATAAGACTGAGTTACTAGAAGTTGACATGCGAATATATATCTTCCCATGCACCCCGCCCCCAAAGTTATATGTTAAGCCCATAGTTCTCAGCTGAGATATACATAACTTTGGGGGTATTCAAAGGTCATCCAAGGAGTATATCACCTCATCTAGATATTTGGCTGGTTTTACTAGCAAAGTCAGCACAAACTAGAATTTCATATGATGACTTCTTTATACTGCTCTATATACTTACATTTCAGTGTAGACAATAACATTTATATTTCTATTGATTTACTTTATAATTATAGGGTAGCAATGAGAAAATAAGCACATTTTTAGTAATAGAGTCTTGGGATACTTTTGTATTTTGTATGTCTGTTTTTGTAAGCAAGATGTTTTTTAGTGAGGTGAAACATAGAGGCACACAGTACAAATCAGACTTTTGAAAGGCATACAGTAGTTTGGAAAGGTTCACAGCCTCTGTGTTAAGCGGTCCAGGCCTAACAAAATTAAACATGCTTGTTTTCTTACTATTTGTTAACAAAGTGATGTAAAATACACGGAGTTCCTGTCCCCTAAAATGTCCTGTCTAAACTATACAGCAAACAGTTGACAGGACACAGAGAGGGGAATAACTAGGATTTAGATTTTGAGATGGAATCATTTTTTTTGTGTGGACACTGCACTTTTCTAGGAGGGATTTGAATTAAGAGAATGAAATGGGTTGCCACTTTGGAATTGGAAGAGCATAGGGGCAGTGTGAGAGAAAGAGATAAAATAGATATCAAGTATGGCACTATTAGCATAGTAGATTTTTTAAATTGCTGCATACCTAGGTACAAGCAATATTATAGAAGAATGTAAGTATAATCTAAAGTTTATTGTAAATTCATGTGATCTCTTAGGCTTAATACAATTTCAAAGTTGCTAAAGTAAATCAGAGGCTGTTGAGGGCAAGTATTTTTATGAAAACTGTGTTTCAGTGAAGTCTTCAGATTCTTTTTTCATTCATCTATTTATTGTAGAGGCTAGTGCTGAATAGTCGGTAGTGGGAAACTCCACAGGATATTGTAGTATGTAGGTGGGTGGGTGCAGAAAGCTTTTCAGCCACACTAATGGTAAGCAGTGTACACTTATAGAGAGATGTAACTTCCTTCTAGAGCCTGCTGTAGTGCTTTCCCCATATTGAATGATTAGAAACCATAACTACTATTAGTCTTGTTTGTTCCCAAGATGGAAATAATTAGCAAAAGAAGATCACAACAAAATAATATCATTGTAATCTGGACAACATTCCTTGTCTTTGAAAAGGCATCATTCAGAATCTGTAAGCAATCCGTATACATCAGTAATCTTTAATGTATGAATGATTAATACATGTTGTCAACAAAACAGAAAATTTAAAGGAAAATCGTTTATCCCTCTGTCTAGCTGGTTGTAGTTAAACATAGTTGGTTTTGAGAGATTTTGGCCAACATCTCAACAGGAGCAGGGTAAAGGGGTGCTTTTCAGTTTTAGATTCAAAACACAACTGAAGCCATAGGACTATCTTTGGATCCTATGTTTTGAATCCACTTCATACATTCAGAGACTTTTGGCTATGAGACTGGTTTTGCCTTATGGACTAGGGTGCTCAACCCACCTCTCCTGGCCAACCCTATAAGAAGTCACTGTAAACCTGCTCCAAAGGATACATTTTTTGGCAAGGAAACAAATATCAATTTCAGGCTTCAGAATTGGAGCCCGAGGGATATTTGTTTTAGACAAATGAAAAAAACAAAACAGCCTTGTAACTTGACAGTGTATTTTCAAGATTGTGTCTTAAAATTAGTATCTATATTACAATCTGTTGCCATGGAAAAGACAGTAATATCCTCATAGAAAGCAGTTTGCAGTCTCCAGTGCTTATGTATGCCTGAGACAACAGGAACATGGGCTGCTAAAAAAAATAACAGAAAAAAGTGTAAATAAAATCCAGCAGTCAATATTATTAATATTAGATTTTCATCTTTAAGCCAAGCATTTACATAGGCAAGAGTTTAGTAAAAAGGAACTACTTCCAACTTTGCTTTTCACTTTTAACTTTGACCTTGAAGTTTTCATATACTATCTTCTTCTAAGCGTATTACAACTAGAAATGCCAGCTTTTAACAGGCTGAACTGAGAGGTTTGCTTGGATAAACAGGCTTCTGGAATTCTGAAAAGAGGATGTGTTGTGCTGGAGGGATGGGCTCTAAGTTTTCCCATGGTAACTGATGGTGTGTGTAATATATTTTTAGGCCCTTGAAGATGCACCTGACCAGTACTTTGAGGGCTTCTTAGGGCTGCTCTCTTGATTTTATCTAAATGTAAAACCTGACTTTGAGAGACTGTCTTCTCTGTTACTCAGAGACAACGTCTTCTTGAAAACTTGTCTCCTGAATTTCTTCCAGTCGAAGATCACTATACCTCATTTTTCACTGAGAGAGAGGCTACAAATTCTCATAAGCCTCTGATGAATGAGGGTCAGAAAGTAACTTCCTGTATGAGCAGGTTATACCAACCATTCTGTACTGTTTCATACATCTTAATAGATGTAACTGAGTACTGGCCACTAAGGAATATAAAATGCTAGACCAGAAAAACCTCTGCACCACATAGATCCAATATGACAATTCCTATGTTTCTGTATTCTGGAATTAGATGTGATCTCTGTTTGCTATCAGACAATCCATTGGGGATTAGTTAAGATCCATTAACACTGAGGATCCAGAATGGGGCACCATTCTTTGCAGAGTCATTTGAGACCCATAGAGAAGCCTTCTATTTTATAAAATGACTGAGGACAAATTCTACCCTAAAATATGAGCAAGTGCCACTAACACCAATGAAAGTCGGTGTGCCTATATGAAGGCCAGCAGTTGTCTTTTGAGCACAATCTTTTGCTAAGGCTTTGAATGGCCTAGGAAACATCTTCAGTGCAATGTAGTGACAATCTTTTTATAACAGGACACTGACAAGGTTAATAAGTCAAATTTGGGCCTGGCTTCTTTTGTTTTCAATCTCCATGTAATTTCCTCACCTCTACCCTACCCCATATCCTGCCACAAAACAAAGTCTTTTATACTGTTTTTAGTAAAAGAAAAAATAACAACACCCAAGTTCTGGTAAATAGCCCTAGAATAAACAAACCAGCATGCATAGCCTAGTGTTCATTAGCAGCTATGCAATAAAGAAACCAATATGCACATGTAGTAGAGAGACACACTCAAAGGAACTTAACTTTCACTCTATACTTCCAAGTAGTGTAAATAACAGAAGAAAGGACTTTTAAAATATATGGAAAATATCTTTACTGTGCCCTTTCCATTATGTAGTTTATTGCATAATTTTCACATTCTATTGGCTGGATTACCCTCTCACCCTGGTGCAAACAAAAAATAAATCAAGGGAGTTACATTGTTGCAAATGACTGGTGAGAGATCAAAATCAGGACCATTACTTTGAATTTTCTTGATTTCTGCATCCTGGATGGTGCTCTCTTTAGCTGTTCTTGGATGATTTACACAAACCGCATCATGGTTATTCTGTTGAGCTGATGAGCTATTGCTATCTAATTTCATGCTAATTGGCTAGGTCACACCAGTGTTCCCTGTAAGCTGAGTGCCTGGGTGACCAGCCAGGAGAGATTCAAATACCACCCAGATAATTAGCAGAGCATCCACAGCCTGGCAGCATATTTTTCTACTGTTGGTGCACATCTGTTAATGCCTCAGTGCACATAACAAAAATTATCCTGCACACAGA